ATATGCTAGTTTGAATGATTGATCACCATTTAGGCTTGCATGTTAGCTATCTTGGTTTGAATTAAGAGTATACACCATGCTTTAATTCGAATTGAACTATGAATAGGAAGAGTATGTATGGACATTCGACAACAGGGATTAGATACATGCTTGGTTGTTTAAATTGTTCTTCTATGCTTAATGGGTTCCTAATGCTTAATTTTAGGTTAGACAACAAATGATCAAATTAGGGAATTAGGAACACAAGGTTAGGACCAAACACCATGGCCTAATCATACTTTAGCTAGAATCAATCTTTGAATTTGAATTAGACTTGTTACTTGACTCCATATAACCCAGAATTGAATTGTTATGGTGATTCGAATGCCCTAGTCTCCAAATCTGTTTTCCAACTCTTAAAACCACTCTTTGTTACACTTGTTTATTTGCTTTCATTTGCAATTTCAGTTTGCTCACTTCCTTTCACAATCACAATCACTCTCACTTTAATTTCTGTTTTAGACTTAACTTCCTAACTTCTTGAATTCGGTAATCTACGTACATAACTAATTTGAACTTCTCAGTCTTCGTGGGTACGACCTCGTACTTGTCTTGCTATACTACTAATTGCCCCGTACAATTGCGAGTTAACATAATAATTAACAACACTGTTCTATTTCAAATTGGATTATTAATGTAATAATTTTACCAAGGACTTGTAAATTTCCATTCTTGCTGATAAGAAACCTCAGTGCCCTTCCTTCAAGAATTGGGTAAATTTCCATTTTTGCCGACAAGAAACCTCAGTGCTCTACTCTATAAATGAATAAAACCTGATGGTTTAAACTACAGCACATTGAGTTTTATACATAATAATATGGTGTAGCCTTGGGTTCAGCTCTCGACGATTTGAGAGTTCAATCATAAACCTTGATCCCTAAATCAGCAGGAGATGGTATATTGAAGTATTGTTTAATGGCTTGTTTTTTTTCTCTTTTTTCTCTCTGTTTTAGGGATCAAGTTTTAATGGCTTGTTTAAACTTGTAACTCATAACTTGGAAACTAAGGCATTGCTAAGACATGTTATTAGTACTTACAATGCTTATGTGAATCTAAAATTTACTTGCTCAATTTTTTTGCGAGATTGAATCTGAAATTGTTAATATTTCTGAAATTGTTAATATTTTATTGGTTGTAATATGGCATTACCATGTGAATCTGAAATTGTTATTAGTACTTACAATGCTTTACTACAATTCATTGATTTAGGAAATTGAATTGGCAGCAGTTGGTGCAGATCAGCAAAAGATTTCTGGAGCAGTTTGCAGCTTTTCTGCCACTCTCTGAGGTATTCTTCATTTCTCTCTCTGTCTCTCTCTCAGATTTTGATGTTTTGCAGAAATTCTGTATATTTTTTAGTTGTTTTTTGTGGATAAATGTCCTCTGTTATTAATAAGAATTCTGCAGAAATTCTGCTAACATTTGCCTTGTGTTGTGAATAAGCTTTCTTTAGTTGTGCATTCAAATTTATCAAAATGGTAGCCGTAGAAATTTATCAAATTGATTAATATTTATTAATTGGTTGTGCATAACAGTGTAATAAGTTATAGTGGTTGTGCATTCAAATTGATTAATTAGTTGTGCATTCAAATTGATGAATTGATGATAATGTGCTTAGTTTGTGTTAAATACATGCTATATATGGTGGTAAAATGTTTAAGTTGGATTATAAAATGTTTAAGTTTCTTTTATTTATTTATTTTTAAATTGAGGTGTTGTTTATCATGTTGAAGTTGGGTTTTTTTTTTGTTTTTGTTTTTGGTTTCTTAAAGAATTCATGGATGAGTTGAACTTGAACCCATTTGGAGAGGTGCATGGCACTACTAATAGTGAAGTTGGTTCATCATCCGCATCCGTATCCACATCCGCATCCGCATCCGCATCAACATCTTTACCCACTTTACCCATCCCTCAACCCCAACCCCAAACACAAACTCAAAGTGCACCTCATGCCCAAACACAACCTCAATCAAGTGCTCTTCCACCATTACCTCATTCCGGCCCAAGAAAAGAAAAATCGGAAGTATGGGACCACTTTGAGAGATATGAAGATGTGGTTGAGAGTGTGAAAGAGGATGGGAGCAAATATGCAACCACTAAGAAGAGAGCTAGGTGCAAGTATTGCTCTATGAACTATGCGGCAGACTCCACTAGAAATGGGACCTCAAATTTGAGGAAGCATATTGAAAACCTATGTAAGAAGTATCCGGGGAGGGTTCCTAAAGATAAACGGCAAAAGCTCTTATCTTTTGACCAAGAACATGGGGTTCTTACATCAACAGTGCATGGTAAAGAAGAGTGGTTAAAAGCATGTGTAGAGATGGTAGTAATGGATGAGATGCCGTTTAGTGTGGTTGAAGGAAAAGGGTTTAGGCGGTTTTGTAATTCTTTGAATCCCCATTTCCAAGTGCCATCTCGTAGGACACTTGTGAGGCATTTCATGGTAATGTATGATGCCATGAAAGAAAAATTGAAAGAAGAATTAGCGCCTCATAGAGTGTGCCTCACAACGGACACTTGGACAAGTGTTCAAAACATTAATTACATGGTCATCACGGCACACTTCATAGATGGTGATTGGAACTTGCACAAAAGAGTATTGAACTTTTGTGTCATTTCCAATCACAAGGGGAACTCAATTGGTAAACTCCTCGAGTCATGTTTGCTTGATTGGGATATGAAGAAGATACTAACCATCTCGGCCGATAATGCTTCTTCAAACACGAAGGCCATAGATTACTTGAAGTCGAAAATGAGTCATTGGGGAAATGGAAGTCTTGTATTAGAGGGAAAGTACATGCACATTAGGTGTTGTGCTCATATTGTGAATTTGATAGTTCGTGATGGGTTGAAGAAGTTGGAGAAAAGCATATTGTGTATAAGAAATGCGGTGAAGTATGTAAGATCTTCTCCCAAAAGGTTAGAAGACTTTAAAAGTTGTGTTAAGAAGGAGCAAATTGAATGCAAAGGGCTTGTGGTGTTGGATGTGCCAACTAGGTGGAATTCCACATATATGATGTTGGAAGCCGCCTTAAAGTTTGAAAAAGCCTTTTGGAGAATGGGAGAAGATGATGAAGGCCCATATATTTCTTGGTTTGGTGAAGATGAACCGGATCACGAAGATGGGGTGGTTATGTCTCATTACTCTAGAAAAAGGGAAGGGCCACCAACCAATGAGGATTGGAACAATGCTCGTACCTTTGTGAATTTTTTAAAGGTATTTTATGATACTACATTGAAGATGAGTGTCACTTTGTATCCCGCTTCCCATACCACATTTCATGACTTGATTGCAATAGAAGAAGAAATTGATGATTTGTTGATGGAAGAGGAGGAAATATTAAGTGAAACTCAAACCTCTAAAAACATGAAGATGAAATTTAAAAAGTATTGGGGTGACCTTGATAAATTGAACCAAATTTTGATGGTTGCTCTTGTTCTTGACCCTCGATACAAATTGGGGAACTTGGAGTTTATCTTGAAGAGTCGGTTTGAAAATTCGGAAGATGCGGTTAAGAAGAAGAATGAGATTAAAGAGATTTTAAAGAAGCTTTATGAGGAGTATGCCATGCCACCACCACCACCACCACCACCATCCACACAAAAGAGTAGTTATTCTTTTAGTGATACTACTACCATGCATACAAGTAGTAGCCTAAGCCAAGGGGGAAAGAAACGGAGGCAAATGAATGAAAATTGGAGAAAAGAGACTCGAGCAAATGATGTTGTGATATTGGAGCATGA